GGCGGCCGGAACAGGTGGGATCCAATTCCTTAATGGCTACCTGCAGCAGCAGGGAAACGGGTCTGCTGAAGCGAAAAGCGAGTTTTACAACAACTACATTTTCATCGTCTTCTTCTTCTTCTTCTTCTTCCGCCCCCTTTTTATTTTTTATTTTTTGCACAGAGGCAAATAAATTCCCTTCACAATACAGTATACCCGTATTTACTCGAGTACCATGCGCACCTTTTTTCTAGAAATTGAGGCAGAAAAATAGGGTGCGTATGGTACTCAGGGATAAATTTTAGAGAAAAATTCCCAAAACCAATGCCCCTCACATCCAAGTACGAAAAATTGAACAGAAAAAGTGTGGCTCCAAGTCTCTTATTCCTGCATGGGGAGTAATGACTCAATTTATTTCATCCCTTGGAGATGCAACAGGAAGTAAAGGAAGGGAGTAATATTCATCTAATTGAAGGTGTCCTATATTGCAAATGCATTTTAACTGCTTTTGTAGATGGAAAAAGACAGAAAGACAAAATATTGATAAGGAAAAATGAATTTAAAACTAAAACATTTTCACATTTCAACTTAATTTCACATTTTGTTGATTTTCAGCAACAACAAAAAACTGGGGTGTGCATCTTAAACAGGGATAGGTTTTTGAACTACCATATTTACTTGAGTACCACTTGCACCTTTTTTCTCAAATTTCAGAAGAAAAAAAGGGGTGCGCATCATAAGCGGGTACAAAATTTTCAAGAAGTTTTAGGAAGTTGTGTGTTGATTATACTTGATTATAATTGAGAAATTTGTGACAAATGTACCAAGAAACCTTTTTTTTACTGAAAAAGTTGAAAATTGATCAGATTCATGTTTCAATTCACATCAAAGTCAAATTTTTTGTTTTTATTTTTTAAATTTTGTGGTTTTTGAGTCCCTAAAAATGGGGTGCGTGTCTTACTCAGGGATGCAATTTTAGCCAAATTTTGAACTAAAAAACCCCTGTGCATGCCTTACTTGAGGGTGTTGGGTACTTGAGTAAATATGGTAATTTCTGGTGAAAAAATGGGGGTGAGCACCGTACTCAATGTCACGTGTGGTACTTGAGTAAATATGGTATGTAAAACACAGGCTTCACATCAGTGAGCGCATTTCCAGAATTGATCTCAAGAAATTGAAAAGACACTTTCATTTTGAAAAAACTTGTAGGAATTGAGAGGGGGTTTAATTAAAAAAAAAAACCAGCAACTTGTTGACATTAGCGTAGGGGGTTTGATTTTTTAGAAATCATTCCCAAAATTAAATCAGTGAACTGCTCACATTTAAAGCGCGACTAAAGAAGTCTGATCTCAAATAAATTTTCATGATGTCATTAATTTCTTGTATGATTAAATTTTGCAGAATATCTTGGCGAATGAAAGTATCCATGTTCAGTAGAACAACTAAACAACGTCATTCTCTGAAATTCAGAAAATACGGATTCTATATTTAGAACAATCTTCCCCTTATGTAGGGCATGGTGTACAGTTCTCATACGAATCTAGCTTGAAATCCAGAACATTAAAACTCATACCAAATGCAGTAATTTTATTTCACTTTGACTTTGCTCGTTAAAACAAGTTTGTACCTTCAAGATTCCAAAAATAATTGATTCAGTATTGCTAAGGCTTTTTTATTTTTTTTATTCGGTGGATCCTCATATACTTTCGGATGATGAAAATAGCAATTGATCTTCATATAAGCAGCATTCAACTAATGAAATCGATTCAATGCTGTCGATGCAGATCCGAGTGACGAAGAAGACGACGATGACGATGACTTCCTGTCGTCACCCGAGTCAGCCTACGACGACGACGACGGGGAACTCATGAGTTCAGCAGTTGCCAATGACGAAGTCACTGCTCAATTGGCCGCCGCAGGTGCGTCAGCAAATTTCAAACAAATCCATAGAGTGGATGCTAATTGTTTTTGAGTCGTCGTTAATTTACCTCAGGGCCAGTGGGAATGGCTGCAGCAGCTGCGATCGCTTCCGCCCGGAAACGGAAACGACCGCATTACTTCGAGACCAATCCGTCGATTCGCAAGCGTCAGCAGACGAGGCTCATCCGACGTCTAAAAGTTGGTTTTCTATTTTGAACAACAACAAAACACTTGCTCGTCAAACTGAGTAAAATGAATCTACTCGAGCAGTGAATGGGTCTCCAATTTTCCTTAAACCGAAAATAAGACCCTATAATACACCAAGAAAAGTTTAAATAACGCCATTTTCATTGATTAACGATAAAATGTGACTCACAGAACAAGCTTGTTTCAAAGAACACAGCTTTTTTAAAACAACAAATGTATTTCAGTATTGTTTAAGTTTTACAAATTTCAAAAAACTTCGAGGCAAGGGAAACATGGAAAAAGAAACAAAAGGGATATGGACAAATTGAGACTGGACAAATGGAGACAGAAAAGTTGAGAGAGGGTCAATTTAAGATGGGGACAATCAGAGACAGGGACAATTTGAGACAGGGACAATTTGATACAGTGACAATTTGAGACAGGGACAATTTGAGACAAGGACAATTAATACAGACAGGGACAATTTGAGACAGGGACATATTGAGACAAAAACTATCCTATTGAGGGGAGGAATCTGCTTAGGATGGTTCAAAGATTTGATGTTTTCCTTGATGAGGAGAACTTTGGACGAAAAAGGAGATCGAGAAACACTGTTTGATCATGGACTTCTCACCAAACAGTGCAATTTTGGTTCATTTTTACACCTTAAACATTCAATAATAGGGAGAAACACAGTCAAGTCATTTTTTCTCAAAATCTCTCTGTCTCAAAATGTCTCAAATTCTCAAAATTTATTTTTCTCAATTTTTCCATATCTCCAAAAGTTTATGTCTCAAATAATCCTTGTCTCCAAAAGTATCTGTCTCAATTTGGCCCTGTCTCAAATTGTCTTTCTTGACTTGTCCTAGATCCAAAAAATATATAGTTTACAATTTTTGCTGTTCCATGATACAGCATCAAAATTCTGCTGTAAGCTTATAACATTTATATTATTGAAATTTTCCCAAAAGCACTGGTGCGACGTTTACTCAGAATATTCATGGATTTGAAAAATATTGCGGCCTATATCCCACTTGTAATGCATCAGAATTTTGCTGACATGAATTTGAAAGATAGAACAAAAAAATCTTGAGGTTTCAATGGGTATAAATCCAAAAACAAATTTCTCTGTTCTTGCTCTTGGTGACTTATTATGATTATTCCAAAGCGAGATGACTTCCTATTTGAAAAAACGTATTCAAATACAAATTTCATTGGCAAAGAGTTAATCCCTGTTTTTATTCATGCGAAAGCAGCAAATGGCATATTTTTCACTCGTTAATTGCTTGTGCGTTTGCTGCAATAGGTGATCTTTTATTTTGAAGTCGCCACCACCTAAATCAAGCAATATAGCCACGGAAATTGCAGTAAACTATTTTGCACTTACAAAAGTTACTTTGTGACTTGTGATATTGATGTGCATCCCTTTTGTATGTATTTGCAGCAAACGATCGACGAGTTCGCGACGAGAGTTGGACAACAAGCAATTGTGCTAATGGCGACTCCTGGGAAACCGGCCCAGAACAATTTCCGTGTATTCGGAGCAAAACCGCTAGAAGACGTGGTAAATAATCCAATTTTGCCAAATGAAACCAGCGAATCAATTACTTAATACTATCCTATTAAAAGGGCTTTACAGCGCAGTACAGTTGAATAATATTCGAATTGCAGTATTTCTGAACCACAGGAGGAACATTATTCATTTTCATTTAATTTTCAGAAAGCTCAATCAAAGTGCACCTGATTATTTTTTATTTAGTTTGAGTTATTGTGCGAGAGTTGCAGGTACTGGATATAAAAGCCATGGTTTTCAAATTTTAGAAATATGTCATGAAAACTTTTAATTTGTCTCTTTCCGATCGATTGTATTTTGTTACAAGTTTATAGCTATGCCAATAAGTGCTAATTTCTATAATTTGATAGTACACGACGACGAAGCAGAAAAATATAAACATGCTGTGCTCGCGATTTTCAAATTTTAGAAATATGATTGTTATGAAAACTTTTAATTTGTCTCTTTCCGATCGATTGCATTTCGTTACAATGAGGTTAATAGCTATGCCAATGAGTGCTAATTTCTAATGTAATTTAATTTGATAATACACGACGACGAAGCAGAAAAATATAAACATGCTGTGCTCGCGATTTTTAAATTTTAGAAATATGATTGTCATGAAAAATTTTAATTTGTCTCTTTCCAATCGATTGCATTTCGTTACAATAAGTTCATAGCTATGCCAATAAGTGCTAATTTCTAATGCATTTTAATTTGATAATACACGACGACAAAGCAGAAAAATATAAACATGCTGTGCTCGCGATTTTTACATTTTAGAAATATGATTGTCATGAAAAATTTTACTTTGTATCTTTTTCCGATCGATTGCATTTCGTTACAATAAGTTTATAGCTACGCCAATAAGTGCTAATTTCTAATGCATTTTAATTTGATAATACACGACGACGAAGCAGAAAAATATGAACATGCTGTGCTCGTCGCAATGTGATTGATAGATTGATTTTTACTTCTACAAATAGATAAAGAATTTGTCGGGTATGATTATGGCGGACCTGGAGTCGGCGCTGGCGCAACACGCTCCTCCGCCGCCACTGGAAGACCCGAGTCGACACGAGTTGCCGCCGCTCGTCATCGACGGCATCCCGACTCCCGTCGAGAAAATGACTCAAGCGCAGCTGCGAGCCTTCATCCCACTCATGCTCAAATATAGCACTGGTAAAAATAAGCCCACGTATTATTATTATTTTTTCCCTGCAGACATTTTTGTTCAGCTACGTTTAGTCGTGGTTGGAAAGTATTTTTACTTTTACCTTCCCGTTTGAAAGAAGGTCCTTCTGGTGTGAGAAAATATTTTGAATAGACGAAAGCAAAGAAAAGCCTCAATTTAAAAAAAGAAGAAAATATGCGCCGCCGCTCGTTCGTTTTCTCATTATGCGAATAAGAGGACATTTTCAAACGTTGTCGACGGAAAATTTCGGCATTTTGAATTTATACTGTTGTAAAATCAGTTTATATTTTTATAAAAAGTGCACAACTATTTCTGTTTTTCTCTGAATGTTTCAAAAGTGTTGTGCAGAAAAAATTTACTCATTTTTATTAAATGGCGTAAAAATCAACGCCTGGCTTCTACAAAAATGTCCTTCACGGTTTTCACATGAATTCTGTGGTACTTTCGAAACTTGCGCAGCAGCTTTCAAAAATGTTAAGAAAAAAAAGTGATAACGATAGATCCCAAAAATTAACTTTGGCGCTCTTTAAAAAAAATGTGAACAGCTGCTTCGTCTTAAATTCTTTTCATGCGTATGATTGTGATGTTGTTTTCAAAAGTTGTGCCCAAACAAAATAAAACCAACAATGTTGAAATATTTTTGAAGCCTTCTATATACCATATGGCTTTCAGGAAACTTTCCACGATTTACAATGGCTGGTGATTTGAATCATATTTTGCTAATCAATCCAGAGTGTTAAACCGAAAGTTTTTCTTGCATCTATTTGCTAATTTGCAGTTGACTTGTGGTTAATATATTTTATGAATGAATAAACAGAAAGCTTTATTTTCCGCTTTTCAGCATTCACAAAGTTCAATCAGCATTCCCACATCCAAACCCCCTCCCCACCCAACTCAAATCCATTCAAAGGCATTCAATCATTTCAGAATTGTAAACAGAGAAAAAAGCTGAATATGGATACCAAAATAAAATAAAATACATAATGAACAACTGGACAACTGATGTGTATTTGTACACCCCTTCTTTCCCTGACATTGAAAACAAAATATCAGTACCAAGAATTGCAACATAAGCCAGAATTATAGTAATTGCAACAGTTACTGAACCCAATTTAAAGCACAAGGTCTTCAGCCTGTTCCCAGATAAGGTTTAGTTGAATGAATAATATAGAGAGATTTTTTGATGAGAAATCATATAAAACATATACCCTATTTACTTGAGTACCACCTTTTTTCCCAAATTTCAGAAGAAAAAAAGGGGTGAGCGTCATAAGCAGGTACAAAATTTTTGAGAAGTTTTAGGAAGTTATGTGTGCATTATACTTGATTATAATGGAGAAATTTGGAACAAATATAACAAGAAAACATTTTTGTATTGAAAAAGTTGAAAATTGAGAAGATTTTTTTTCAACTCACGCCTGAAGTCAAATTTTTTGTCTTTATTTTCGAAATTTTATGGCTTTAGATTCACTAAAAATTGGGGTGCGCCTTTTACAGTACTTGGGGATAAGATTTTTGCAAAATTTTCATCTGAAAAACCCCTGTGCGCACCTTACTTGAGGGTGCATGGTACTCAAGTAAGTACGGTATAAATTTTTTCAAGATTGTGGGATCTAATTCTACTTTTTCAATGCTTCTTAAATTTTGAAAAGCAAGGGTTGAATTTATGGGTACTGAAGTTTACAATTTGAATATTTCAGGACGTGGGAAGCCCGGATGGGGCAAGGAGCAAACCAGGCCACCTTGGTGGCCCAAAGATTTGCCCTGGGCCAATGTGAGAATGGATGCTCGCACTGAAGACCAGAAGCAGAAGGTGAGAACAAAGCACAAGGCTATACCGTATAAATGTCTCCTTCTCAATTCATTGAATGCTACCACCATGAAGTCTCTTCTGAAAAGGAAGAATAGTTGCTTTACTTGTGTGAATCGTGGATGCCATCACGCAAAAACAAAAAAATTACCCGTTCTCAAGCAAAATAAGCTAACGTGAGTGAATACCCTCTATAACAGTGGCAATCTTTTAAATCGCGCTGCCGAAATTCGGATGGATATTACCAAAGACGTCCAAAATAACCACTGCCCCCCCCCCCCCAAAACGTAAACCACCAAACAACGTTTTTTTGGGCTTCAGAAAAATTCGGGAGAAAAAATGACAGCATTTCTTCCCGCCACATACATGCGTTATTGCTGTAATCGTTTTCCTATTTAATGCATTAATTGTACGTTTTATAGCAATCCATGTTTGTAAATTTTACATTAATTTATATGCCTTTTCCGGAATCGTAGGTGTCGTGGACCCACGCCTTGCGACAGATCGTCATCAACTGCTACAAGTTCCACGGGCGGGAAGACCTGTTGCCGGCGTTCAGCGAGGAGGACGCGGCGGCAGTGGCGGCTGCTGGCGGCGACCCCGACGACATCGACACGGCAGCTGGGGCCCGGTGTGGCGCCGACAGCGGCGTCGACGTCGTCGTCACGCCCAAGTCCGTGTCCACGGCGTCCGCGTCCACTTCCATGCCGTCGCCGGCGAAGCAGATTAAACTCTCGCCCAGGGGCACCGCCACTGCCGTCGTCACGTCCAGTGTGTCGGAGGTAAGTTCCCAGCCCAACGAATTCTTTTCCCACTTCTCATTTTAATTTTTTTTATCATTTTTTAAACTAGTAAATCTGTATGAAGGCTTGTAATTAATTTTCCCTAGAATATAAAGGCAGGAATGTTATTCATTTATCACAGCTATTGAATATTTTGATGAAATAATAGATGGCTTTTTTGGAGTTCTTATAGTCTTCGAATTTTAGGCTGAAATGCATATGATCTGTAAAGAAAAAAAGGTTGTCAGAAGAAAAGCATTTACAGACAACCCCCGCAGAATGGACTTAATTTGTGCAACAGACTAATCTGCTGTGTGAAAAGTCTTTTATGCAAATTCAAAAAAAATTTTAAGGTAATAAACATTTTACTTTTACCAATAATTTTAAACCAACAGAAGTCTGTTAGGTGGATTTAGTCCATTGCGTGGGAGGGAAAACTGTCTCCAGAGTTGGTATGTGGTGCAAAAACCCTTGAGCAGGAGGTCCATTGTGAGGGGATTGACTGTATTGCAGACCCTGGATTTTATTGCGCAGAAATGACCAAAAAAAGGAACTGAGTGCTTATTTTTCACTGGAATGCTGTGAAGAGTGAATAGCACATTGCATTATAGCCCAAGTGGGGAAATTTGTGCACACTGGGGAAGTGTCTGTATTTCTACACAGTGACCCTGCTGTGCACCTGAAGCATACCAAAGCGTTTCTGTTGCACATGTACATCCCTAATGTGCACCAATTGTGTGTTCACACCAGGGTTACTCAGGGTCACATTTGTAAACAAATAAGTTACACCAAGGTTACAGTTTGTGAATTTTTGTGATACTCCTGTTATGTCACATTTGTGCACCAAATGTAGCCCTGGAATGGTAGCAAAATTTCATCTGCAGAGGTGCATGCTTGTAACCCCAGAATATCCTATGTACACCAATTGTGACCCCAGTGTGCACAAGTTGTGGGGTCACACAAAGAATAGCTCCCCACTCAAGCGTACTGTTGGGGACTGATGCGTGCACCAGTAAATAATTATACAGTATTATAAATACCTTGCATGCCTGAAACCTGTGCTGGGTTTTACAGAGAGCCCAGCCCCAAAGAACTTTCAAAACTTGTACAACAATGCTGCACATTGTCTTCAATTTTAAAATAAATAGTCAATTGGAAAGCAGCGAAGAATCCCAACCTTTGCCAACAACAAGTTTAAGACAAAACATCCTCAATAATGCGTAAAAGCCTCAAAAACTTGAAATCAACAGCACATTCTCAAAAACCTTCATCAACAGAGGTGCATGATTTTAACCCTAGAATAGCCCATGTACCCCAGTTGTGGCCCCAGTGTGCACCAGTTGTGGGGTCACACAAAGAATAGCTCCCCACTCGGGATATTCAGAATCCCAGACTGTGAATTCTCTCTATGACACGAAATGAAAAGGCGTCAATAAGAAAAGTGGTTTAATGTGGTGCAGACCCTGGATTTCTCTTCGCAGGAGGCGCAGTCCATGCACTACACGCCCACGGTGGTGCAAACGATCTCGAACCCCGACGGCACTGTCAGCATCATTGCACAAAATACTCACCATAATTCCATGAAAATAAAAATTGTCTCCCAATTTAAACTGATGCAATCAATATATTTCAACACAATATGGGCATTTGGGGAATTGAATACTGATGCCTCTGTACAGTACAAAGAAATGTTGGAATTCTCTGTAAAAATGACATCCAAGTGAAAAAGAGAGAAGGAAGTCCCTGTATGCTGGAGGTAATTTTTTAAAATTAGCTAAATGGGTGGTAAATTGGTGAGAGAAATGCCCGAGAAGTTTTCTTACATCAATTTTAGGGTTGGAAATATCTGTTTCTTTATTGTAATTTGACCTGAAATGTATTTGCAATTTTATTACAAAATGTCCCTATGTTGAGTAAATGTCCTCATGTCGGGCCTTTTTTAAATTCATTTTTAATGGGAAAATAAGTGTCCCTATGTCAAATTGTCCGTATCAGATCAAGGTGTCCGCATGTGAGCGTCTCACTGTACTCTTTCCTTTTGCTTTTTTCCTTTTTCTGATCCTCGTTTCGCTCTTTCAATTCCATATCGCATCAGTGTATTGCAAATGTTGTTGTGACGTGGACAGACGAATAATGGTAGGTAAATGTCAAAAAAGCATGCTCTAATGCAGATCCCGACGTCGATGGACGGAGCCACCGTGTCGGCCCTCACAGACGGCCAGCAGTCCAACG